ATCGATGTTTTTCCGACTATCTTAACTCCGCATATGATTTGGTTCCACTATATTTATAGTCCGTTTATGTGCGTTCATTTACTATCGATTAGTTTCCGTGTTTCCATTTCCGCCGCTTCCGAACGCCTGGAAGTCCTCTCCATCTCCCATCTCCTTACTTATACTGGTCTCTTACCTATCTCTTCATGTCTTCCCCGTTTTCGCGCCTGTTGATTAGGTTCTGGTCGAATCTAAGAGGAAATTTCCAGTCAAAGATGGTTATATGTGCTACGATACGAACTGTTCACATGAGATTTTCAGGCTGGTGTGACTAGTGGCCTATCGTGGCGTCCATTCTGTGAAATACAGAAGCAAATGAGTTCAGGAACAGAAGGGCCTCTATCAACTCAGGTATTTTTATCAGTGCGTTATGGTAGTGTGGCAAATCTATTTGACATTGCGATAGCGCTAAATTTCACTGTGCAATCGCCGGAGCTGTCGTATTTGGAGTATCTTTCATGTTCCCATGCTACTGAGTTCTGCCTTTTTGTTGGTGATCAACGAGAACGTGACAAAGTACAGCTATTGCTGAATTCGACCTCGTCCTGATAAATGTCATTCCATAGCTGTTCCAAAAGTTTAAACCGTGCGAAACAAAACCTCATACTCTTATTCCCTTTTCTAGTCGTGGCAACTTCTCTGAGTATAAGTTTAAACAATGTTCTTGATCAACTTCCCCGCTGTATTCTCCGTTTCTGACCCTAGCGTGTTCTGGGCGATGTGAATTGATTTCCACTCTTACATGTTGGAGAATGGTTTCGTGTTTTACATTTAACGCGTAGGGCCCAGTGGATAGTTTTGTGTTGTGGACACATGGCGAAGCATCTCGTTTTTCTACAGACCTATTCTGAATCATAATAAAGTCATGTCGGTCGACCTGTCATTACTCGTGTCCGACTCTAAGTGTTAAGCAAACACATATCACCTCTAACGACCATATGCAAGTCCTTTTATGATATTGCCAATAAGGCTTTTGTTTTTTGGAGTCCACGAATTTGTTTTTTGACCGAGTTTAATATCTTGACCATTGATTGAACAGATGGGGCTTGAGCCAACATTATGTGCGGTTGCGCATTTTGATTAAAGGTCCAGGTTTTTAAAAGTTTTGTTATCCGCTGTATCTCTACAACGACAACACAAAGTCTCTTTTTTAAGCAGACGCCTGCGGTCCGGAGTTTTGCAAATATCTCAGCATCATTAAAGTTATATATCGCTATATACCCTGCCGTTAAAAAGAGAAGGCAGTAAATAATAAGTTAAAAGTTTTTTAAGTTTGTAAAGTCCGCAAGTATTCAGGTGTTTTGATTTTAGAAAAACTGTGAGCTGTTGGCAAAAAACCAACACGGCATAAATGTGAAAGGGAAAAAATATCGTCGTACATCTGTATTTCAGCGGCAACTATCATGGATTCCCATCTACGGCATTCTGGGATAGGCTTTAAATTGGTTTCTAGCAGCTGTTAAATGTAAAGTCGGTGATCATCTCGCGGTCGTTGCTCGAGTCTTTGAACTGCGATGTTGTCCTGCAGGTGCTTCCAGGAATCCCCGCGAATCAAGGCCCTCAGATCGTAAAACATGGAATTTCTAAAACGTTTTTCAAACTGTCCATCATTTAACCTCGGTAGTAAAATAGTCAACATATGTATAATTTTTTGAGTTTACATGAGGTTTATAAACAATCTTTATTCGGCTGTTTCGATGTCGTCGTCTTCAGCAAAGCCGATGGTCGGAGTCCATAGTCCACAGTTGTTCGCGTTCTCGATGTGGCGTTTTCGTTGTTGTACCGAGACGGATCTACTTCGGTGGAACACAGCACGAATCATCGATTTTTTCAAAACTGTAACACCTGAATCATCGATTCTTGCAGTGTTCCACTAACGAGAAGATCCGTCTAGGTACGACAACGAAGACGCCACATCGAAAACAAGAACAACTGTGGACCATCGACTCGGATCATCAGCTGTGATGAAGACGACAACGTCGAAACGTTAGCAGCAATAAATCTCTATGGCAACTTCATGTAAGCTCAACAGTTCATACATAAGGAGTTTGTAGTTGTAGAGTACGGTATGTGGTGAGTATTGATCTTAGTTTTTAAGCATATAATTCATCCCAGTGTGACCGTTGTTTCTCCTCGTTAGGAGGATGGGTCACTGGTGAAGAGATGGTGCGCGCAAAGCTGTGCTCTAATACTATGCCTTCTGGTTTCGCCCGTTAATTCAAGACTGCTAAATCTCCATAGTCGTCATCTTAGCGGTCAATTTTCGATAGTAAACTTTTATCGGATAACATACAGAGAACGATTAGCTGCAGTGATTGGAGCTATGTTCAGCGTTAAATAGCACATGGTTCACCAACAGTATCATTTTTCCTTTTTGTCTAGTTTCAGTTCAGTAATCGTGCATCGGCGTTAGTCTAAAGAAGTGTATTCGTGTCGCTAGATATTATAAATGATACATTTTGTTCCAGAACGTTGTCGCCGTCGAAGATGGCGATAAGACACCACGTCACACCAAAAAACCCTTGAACCGGCCGGCGATGCAAATTTACAAACCTCCTGGTGCGTTTATGTGAAACCATTGTTCTGCTAGGACTTTTTAACCAGAAATATTCTAAATAATTTACAAAGCTTGCAATCTTGTTGCTAGAAGAAGTGTTTAATACCCTAGGAAATCTAGACTTATGTTCTTTAACGGCAACCTAATTTTTCCTCCGACTCTTTAATGGTGATAGCAATTTTTCTTTCAAGCTTTTATTCTCTTTAATTTTATATTAGTCCAAGGTGTGAAAGTTATAAGGATCATGCATTCGTCTTTCTCCTTCATTACTATTGTTTCATGTAATTAGTGCTCACATATCACCCATGTGAATTTTAATCGGCGGTGGTGGTGGTGATGGTAATCCTTTAGTGCTCTAGCGATCGTACGTGTTGCCTCGTACTGCCCATAATTTCCATTTCTCGTTCATCCCTCATTTCAGCATTGCTGTCTAGCAGCAGTTTTTTTAAGATTTGTTTCTCTTTTTACGCTTTTCTTTGAAAAAAAGTTGGTTGCCATTGACGAACCACGGCAATGATTTCTATTCAACTATAAGCTCGTCCAATTTGTTTAGGTCATTGTGTGTACGCGCTTCGGTGTCTAAGATCACATAATCTGATGGGCAGAACCACTTCATTTCTTCACAGTACATTTTCCACAAAGCCAACACGAGGTTAATGAAGATGTTAATTCGGCTAACGTTTCGACGTTTTTGTCTTCCTCAGAGCCGATGATGCGAGTGGACGGTCCACAGTTATTTGTCTTTTCGATGTGGTATCTTCATCTTCATGTCGAGTCCGGTCTTCCTCAGTGGAGCACCGCTCGGATGAGGCAACCTCACCCAGCAGCGCTCTTTTATGCAGCACGATTGTTGTTGATAATGAGTGTCCGTTGAAAACAGCTTGTTTTCTGAACGACAGTCCATCCTGGAAAGGACTACATTGTGTGAGCACAGCAAGCAGAAAATCAATGTTTTAGAACCGACCTTCATTTAACATTGGGATTAGTAGTCAAACGAGCGCTGCTGGATGAACTTGCCTCATTTGAGCGGTGCTCCATTGAAGAAAAGTCGACTCGATGTGAAGACGAAGGCACCACATCGAGTAAACGAACGACTGTGGACCGTCGGCTCGGATCATCGACTCTGATGAAGACGAAAACGCTGAAACTTTAGCCGAATAAACTTCTTTATCAACTTCGTGGTACCTTAATAATCTAAAAAGTATTGTTTATTAATGCCGCTGTTAAGTGACGATCGATTTGAAAAATGGAAATTAGTATTTTCTAAAGTACTCATATGAAAGTCAGATTGCCACAATGGTTGTGTCTTAGTTAGGTTTTCTTGCTTGGTGAAGCACGTTGTTTCTAAACGAATGGATTGTAAGTTCCACTTATAATCGTTGTTATCGTATTATGCACTTGTTGAACTAACTTAGTAATGTGGTCATATCTTTAAATGACTATGTGGTGTTGGGAATCCTTTTGTCTTGTGTGGCTACAAAAATAGTTGGAGTGAATTTTATCACTGGTAAGGTGCAAATGGAGCGCGTATGGCGCAATACTGGAAGACACCCTGCGACACAAACATGGAATCTGTCTTCTCGCCCCATGGCCCACCAAGCCTTCCATCCTTCCGGGGTCGGAAAATTGGTACCAAACTTGGCTAGGAGAATACATCGGTACGCCACCGCGAGTCATTGTAAAGGTTATTTATGCATTCAATCACCTCTAAACGATGCTTAATGAAGTCGAATGCACGGTGCATCCCTGAGGGATTGATCAACGCCGTGAGCTTTATCCTTTTACGGTTGAAATTCGCAAAATTTATTGAAGTCTTTAAATCATAAAGGTTTTTGAAGCGGACCGTCATTTAACCTCGGTAGTAAAGTAATCCACATATGTTGAAATTGTTGAGCTTACACGAGGCTGATGTACCTTCATCTTCATCAGAGGCGATGGTCCGAGTCGGTGGTAATCTCTGATGAATATGAAGACGTCTAAACGTTAGTCGAATAAGAATCTACATCAACCTCGTGTAAGTTCATCACTTTACACGCAAAAAGGTTTTTTTTTGTTCATTTGATAGTCAAGCTGTGATTTTGAGTTCAAGAGAGATATGTTTAATAGATTGTATATTATATGCTTACTAAATAGTCTTTTTGTAGGTCTTCGAACTAGTTGTTCCAATGATGGTTCCTCTGCTACTGGAGGAGGTACAACAGGCGTGACACCCGCAGTTTCAACTGGAAGTACGCGCACCCAAATTTCTAATGTAGTGAAATCTCAAAATCAGCAAAGTAAAAGCACTAAAGACCAGGAAGGTATGTCCAAGGTCATACTTGCATTCTTCTGCTGTTTGAGAAAATTTTATTGTCTGTTATTATACAAAGAGAGCCTAGAAAACAACACTAGTCGTGGAACAACAATGGCATCAGATCGTGACTTGGGACCACGAAATGCCGACTCTACTCAGTCCCAAGGCTTTCAGCGAATGAAGCGAACTGAAAGCAGTATTAGCTCTGAAAGTGTCTTATCTCAGGTAGGAATATTCCACCACAAAAAGTAAGTGTTTGTTGGAAACACTATCCTTTAGAGATCTTCTGGATCAGGATCTGGTCATGGTGTTGGCGTTACTGTTCCAAAGGAGACGTTAGCTCCTTTTATTGGTGAAAGACGTACAAAGCAGAGTACTCCTCCGAAAAAAGAGCCCAAGGTACATTGAGTGAACAGTGTTGTGAGTTGGCACGTAATATTAAGAATTTTAGAAGAAGGCCATGACAGAACGAGAGATGACGGATGCTGCTGCAGGACTCCGTGCTCTTAGGATCGGCACCATTTCAACAGAGATTGAAGGATGGATAACAAGTAAGTCTGGTAGAGTGCTTTCTTTGTATTTAAGAGGCGATATTACTCATTCTAGGTGCATTTACGGCCGATGATTTAGCTGAAACCATAGGATCGGCACTATGCCAACACGCCATTGAGGGTGGAGGAGGTCGCTCGGTTGCGAAAATCTGCGGAGTTCTACGAGATTCTCCTTCGGCATTCGCTCTGTATAGGGTTGGGTGCTTTATATGTGCTTGGATTCCATTTTAATAAGCAGATATTCAGTACGCTCGAAATTTTTTCCTGACGTTTTAGGGTTTGCTGTCCTCGGTTTCACAGTATTTCGAATGTCGAGACCGCCTTAGAGCTGATCATTTCCGAATGTGGATTTCTTTTCTTGCATTTGTTGCTGATTTGTATGCAAATGTCGGAGGAGGAAAAGATGGTGCTGTTGTTTTTTCTACTGTAGCCCAATCATTTTTTATCGCTCTTTGAAGCACTCACATCAAGAGGTTTCTGACCAAAGTCTTATATTTTTGGTAACATTTTCAGGAGAACTGGTGAATTTCGTCTTTCAAGTGTTCGATTACCTTCTGAGAGCGCCGATTCTAGAAACGCTTAAAATTGAAGAGGTTTGCCCTTCCGTACTTGTGAAGCTTTTTGTTGCAAATTATTGTTTGTTTTTTAAGTCTTTGCTTTCATTTTTTCTAACGTTTTTCATTTGTCGAGAGTTTCCTCTTAAGCAACGTCATTGGCAGTTGTTTCGTAATTTCAGTTAGAATCTCTCATTTCCGTGTTGCTTTCTGTTGGGTACGATTTGGAACGGGAGTGTCCGGACCAGCTTTCTCTTCTCAAAGATTTGATCAGGTTGAGCCTACGGCTATTTCTAGAATAGTGGGATATGATCCAGGTTGTGCTATCTATAAGATATGATACGAAATCCAGGGATGCTTTCATTGATGTGTCTGAACCATGGGCGCGTAAGATGATTCTTCTCCTGCTGGAATTAGGAGCAAGTGGATGGAAACTTCCCGCTGAAGCCAACGAGTACTACTTTCAGCAGACAACAAACTAGTTTAGAAGGCCTTTCAGACGTGACTGCTATCGGCTGAGTTTTTGAGCTCGTTTTTCTTACTGTATTAGCAGCATGCTCATGTTCTTTACTTTAATTTGGACACATTTTGCTGCTTTTCTTCCTCTTCTTCTTGAAGTTTTTTATTGCATATAGTCATTATATGCCATGACATTTGGTGCAGTTCCTTTACTCATTTAGACGATGTTTATAGGTTTTTGATAATGCTGTATTTGCTTTGATTCAGATGTTCATGATATTCATGACATATTTTCTCTTTAAAATCGATTCGCGTTAAGAGCTTTAGTCCTTTTAGTTTATTAGCGCTTTTGTTCTGGCACGTAACTAACCACTTTGGTAGTTCAACACTCGCGTTCGCCTAGGCTTTTCATAGAAGATTTTCCATGGAAGTTTCATTCTATTTATATGGTCCCCTATCGATTCTTTGATATCAGCTGTAATCACTTTCCTTTTGCAGTATGTGTAATTCTGTCGTATAGTTTTTTATCATATTCGTGATATTTAATTTTATGCGATTTATTTTAGATGTGGTTTTTTCTATTTTACATTATGCCTTATTTTTTCCTTATTTGTAAGTATCTTACAGCTAAATACCTATGAGAAATTATTGTTAGAAAATGGTTGCAAAGTTCTGCCTTTCTGCGTTCGGTACATCGGCCGGGTTTCACTATCTAATTTCTATGATTTATATGACTTTTACCCACTGTACACAGCGACAAATAGCATTAAATGCTTTCGAAACAAAACTGTTCCAGAGCGCGATACCTACACCAGTTGATTGCCACATATTTCATCACCTTCCACCATTTTTCTAGACGTTGTTAATGGAATCGGGGAATAAGTATTTAAATTTTTGATCCTACACGAGGTTGATAAATAAAAAGTAAAAAGACAAAGCTATTGGCGTTGATTAAACCTCGAAAGATGTACCACGCATCAGGCTTCCCTAAGCATCGTAAGAGGTGATTAAATGCACATCTGGCCTTTACACGGTGGCCTACCGATGTGTCGAGCCAGTGCTGCTATCCTCCCAGACAAGTCTGGTACCAATTTGTCGACCTCGGAAGGACGAGGGGCTTGGTGTGCCTCGGCGCAGGGATCGATCTTGTGCGTATTGCAGGGTGTCTCCGACCGCTGCGCTACACGCGTCCACAAGGTTGATATACAGGTCTATCCGGTTAGCGTTTCGACGTTTTCGTCTTCATCAATAGTCCACTCGGACCAGTGGCTGTGATGAAGACGAAAACTTCGGAACGTTAACCGAATAAATCTGTACATCAACCTCTTGTAAGCTCACCAATGCAAATATATATTGATTATTTTGCTGCCGCGGTTAAATGACGATAGGTTCAAAACTTGGTGAATAAGTGTTTATCTTGCTAGCAGTGCTGTCGTCTATGATCGAAATGCCAGTAGTGGAAGTGCTACCTGGTCTGCAGAATGCACATACATATCCGATATCATTTCTGAACTCAGCTGTCAAACCTTGGCGGTTGCATGCAGTCGGTTTTAAATCAGGAGTGGTTGTTACGACAAAATTTTGCAAAGTGAAGTTGTACGCAGAAAAAAGTGGAATAGCCACCTTACAATCATTAGGGGACGTTTGAAAGGTGCTATATGTGGTGTGGATTAGTCAGCCAACGTGCCGTTGAACACCACTGCTGTATCTATCCACGCACGGATGCTATTCTTGTCAACTATGATGTTATTTGAGTTATCACGTTTGTCTTTTCAACATTTTAGGCTCTTTTCAGACTGGACAAGTTGTAGGATGTTTAAGTTGGGACTTAGACAGTTGAAGAACTGCATGTTCGGATATATATATATATACATATATATATATATATACATATATATATATCGCGTTGATATATATATATATAAAGGATAAAGCTCTCGGAATTGATCAATCCCTGACGCATGCGCCATGCATTCGACTTCATTAAGTATCGTTGGAGGTGATTTCATGCATATTTGGTCTCTACAATGACTCACGGTGGCCCCCCGATGTATCGAGCCGGTGCTGCTATCTTCCCAGACAAGTCTGGTACCAATTTGCCGACCCCGGAGGGATGGAAGGTTTGGTGGGCCAGGGGCGCGGGGATCGGTCCCACGTGTGTGTCGCAGTGGAGCCTCCAACCACTGCGCCACATGCGCCCTTGCTACAGATATATATATATATATATATCAACTGTAGTCGCGTTGATCGTCGAGTGGCTCGAACGGGCGCCAGTAAATCTTCCACTTTTCCTTGTCGCCCAAGAATAGCCCAGTGGGTTCTTCTCGCTCTGGGGACACTTCGAGCATCATATCTTTCTTCTAAGCTCTTCGTGAAGAACTCTTTTGTTTTGCAAGTTCGGACGTTAGTTCGCTTTTGCCTGCAGCTCGTGCGATTCCACGCTGGAGTACCAGCTCGAATGTTTCTGGAGACAAACGTCTCTTAGTAACTTTAGCACTATCAGCTTCCATAGCGCTAACGTGAAGATTTTGAATGAGCCGATCGTATTCTTCGTCGATGTTATCGACAAGGGCATCTTTCCAACAGCCGACTAATGAATTGGATAAGTCCCAGTTTGCGGTGGTTCTGGGATTTCGGTTTTAGAATTTAGCGGCTTTTTCTCCTTTCCGCGGGAAATAGAATCTTGCGCGAAGGAGACGATGGTCTAATCCTGTTTAGCGTTTTGGGACAAAATCGACATCGGTTAGGCGAAAGCTTCTATTTGCTATGATGTGGTCTATTTCGTTATGGTACTCTCCATTGGGAGACTCCCACGTCCAGTGCTTAGGGTGGAGCTTCTGGAATTCTGAGTTACCATGGATTGTCTTGGATAAACTCGTGCTGACGAGAGCGCCAATGCCTGAACATTGGGGCTGGATATACTCACGGGTAGCTTGTCAGGCTTTCTCAGAGTGGACATAGAGCTTACTTGTTGGAGACGACTCCTAACCGCCTCCCATATACTTCCTTGTCACTTGATTGCAGGTCTTTCGCCGTAGAATATAATCCGCATAAGCGAGAACGCATCCACACACGTATGTATGAATAGGCCTACCAAATACAGAAAGTAGGTGCCAAAGCAGCGCATCAGAAACAGGTGGTGCATTACTTGGATGCACTTGCGTCTCAGGGAAGCAAAGGTCGCTTTTGGTCCGCGATTAATCCCTTATCCGCCACCTGGGGACTCGTCACGTAGCCTCGCGACTAACCGGCTAGAGATCCCTCATATGAGGGAGACCCGTGGATATATATGTATACATATATATATGTGTATACACAAATATATATATCCCAACGGTTTACCGCCTCATCTTGACTGGGAAATGTTCCTGAGTGTGGGGTTGCGATGTACAGCGGGGGTTTTCGTCCGCCCAGCATGGTCTCCCACGCTATGAAGGAGTCCGGTTTAACATCAGGAAGCCCAGCTAATAGTAAACCAATACCAGGATTCTCCAGCGTCCTGATATCAAACTAGTCGCATGGTAGCAAGTCTCCTGATCCACAAGGTCGGCGACCGCTTGTGGTGGTGACACCTGGGGCAGACTTTATCCTGGCTGACGTTTGGACTCCAGGTAACCACAATAGCTAAACTAGCAAAATTGCTGGAAAATGGAGATTGTGCCGAGGTCTGCACAACCAGTAAGGACGGGCCGTCCAATTATCCAAATATCCAAGTGATGTGTGTATGTACACAACCACTCATATTTGCCGTGCGGATCTCAGGACCTTAACATGTGCTTCGTTTTCTTTCATCTGTAGTCAACGTAAGTATACCAATTTTGCTTGTGTGTTCAGTTGCTGCTTGAAGATTTTTCTTTCGTCGTGGATGTTGTTGAATTCTGGTCGAGTCGATTCTGTCTGGAGGCCTGAGTTAGCAGTGCCCAAGTGTTTTCACTTGCTCTACGTAGAATTAACTTTTCCCAGACATGTCTGGTGCTAATTTCGCGGCGCTGGACGGATGAGAGATTTGGGTTGCCCGAGGCATGGTCGAGCTACCAGCATCATGCTGATGATTGTTCATTTACATTACTACTGCGCTACCAGCCCGCTAGAGATATATTTCCTATGTGCTGTAGGGAACGTGGTTCTTTCCACTGATTCGACTTTGAAGACAGTTCTGTTTGATTTTAATTTTTTAAACTTTTGAAGAGGTGCAATGAGTATGGGAACTAGAGGAGACATGACGAAATTCGATTATTTTATGAACCACTTTGTTACGGGTCGTGCGAAGTTGATTAAAGCAGTGGAGATCGATGAGGAGTTTGGTGGTACGAAAATGAGACATTTATTCACTTTTTTTTTCGGGATTTTCTTAAGATTAACCACAGTGCTGCTGAAATATTTGCAAAACTCCGAGCGGCAGGTGTCTGCGGTAGAGATCGAACACACTATTACTCTTTCAGGGGCTAACGCGTTCGCCACCACACTATGCGCGTCCTTTGTTTCGCCTTTCTCTCAGCTAGTTCTATCGATCTGTGCCATCAGCAATCACCTGTCAACGGGATTGATCTAGGAAACTCACATAAGCATTGAAGACAGCTACGCTGAAGCTCTTCCGTCCGTCCGTCCGGAGCTCATCCGGAGTTTTGCAATATCTCAGCGTCATTGAGATTGGTTTCGCGTAAAAATCTGCCTAAAAATTGTAGTAAGCAGTGAATAAAAAGGTTAACATTGTGATTTCTTCAATGATGCCGAGATATTTGCAAAACTCCGAACCGCAGCTGTCTGCGATGGGGAACGAACGTGCTATTGTCCTTTCCGGGGAGTAACGCGTTCACCACCACACTATGAGGGTTCTTCGTTTCGCCTGTCTCTCAGCTAGTTCCCCACCGCAAACACCTGTGGTCCGAAGTTTTGCAGATATCTCAGCATCGTTGAAGTTATATTTCGCAATATACCCTGCCATTAAAAAGATTAGGCAGTAAATAAAACAGTTAAGATTGTGATTTCTCTTGAGATCGTTTTTAGATTCTTGCAAGGACAAAAAATTGCAAGCATGTGAACTATACAAAGAAGGTATGGACGAGTTTAAGAAGGTTAGTAAAACTATGCTCTTCCACTCAAAGGTGACATGAATTCCGCACTTTCTTTGATGCAGGCAGAAAAAATAAATACCATGGACATTACACCTGAGAGAAGAAAGGAAGTTGCTGATGCAAAGGAAAAGATGGAAGGTTATAGTCGCAGTGCCAAAGAGCGATTTGTTACCCTGAGTCAGTGTTTTTGAAGTTTTCTCAACTATCTTTAGTCTTTAATTGTTCTCGTTATAGTGACCAAAATGAAAGGATCAAACGTGCCAGTTCACTCTTCGTCGCTTCCGGGATCGTCAAATGCTCGTGTCGCTTCTTCATCGCGACGCGGCGATCGTGTGAATCGAGTTCCTCCGGTGATTTAGTTTTTAGTTTTATTTCAGCCCATCTTTGATGAATATAATAGTTTTTGATCAGATGTTTGCAACGCGACGTGTACTTTACTAATGTCTTTAAGTGTTTATGGCTTTTTTTCGTTCGTTGGTTCCATTTTTCTTCGTGGTATTTGCTGAAAATACTATTTAGAGTCGGTTTGGTAACTCCGGTCAACGTATCCCGTCACGTCAGGAATTACTGAAAGGTGTTGATGCTAAATTTGGTGAGCGGCTTCTTGACGAGATGCTGGACCGAACAGGTGTTAAGCTTTCTGACGTAGTTGGTTGTGAAGCAGCCAAGGAAGCTTTAGAAGAGGTACGTTTAGTTGTTCAGGCAATAGAAAAAATGCTATCAGCGTTGATCAATCTCTTAGAGAGGCATCATGCATTCGGCTTCATTAAGCTTCGTTTGTAGGCGATTGAATGCATATATTGCCTTTACAATGACTCGCGGTGGCCTACCGATGTATCGAGCCAGAGCTGCTATCCTCCCAGTCAGGGCTAGTGCCAATATGGTGACCTCGGAGGGATGAAAGGATGGTGGTCCAGGGCTGCGGGAATTGGTCCCATTTGTATTGCAGGGCGTCGCAGACCACTGCACCACACGTGTCCTTGTTCATGAAATAACAGTTATAATCGATGTAAGTTTAGGCTGTAATTCTGCCTGCCTTGAATCCTGTGCTGTTTAGTGGCCTTCGACAGCCGGTGAAGGGTATTTTGTTGTTTGGTCCTCCAGGAAATGGAAAGACGTTATTGGTGTGTCTGTTTGTTTAATGTTTTTTTTAAGCGTAACTAACTTCTTTTCCATTAATTGTTGTTCTATCTGCTGTGGTTTTTAGGCGAAAGCTGTTGCTTCGGAATCAAATCAGGTGTTTTTCAACATTTCAGCTGCAAGCTTAACTTCTAAGTGGGTAGGAGATTCAGAAAAGACTATCCGCTCCCTATTTCAAATAGCAAAGAACGCCCAACCTGCTATTATATTCATTGGCAAGTTTGGCCACTTTCTAGAATGTTGCTCTTAAATGTTTTTTTTCCTAATTTTTTGCTTTTTTTTGTAAAGGTAATAATAAAGCAATCTGTTGCAGATGAGATAGATTCGATTCTCTGTGATCGTTCTGAAAAGGACACAGAGGTCTCCCGTCGGATGAAGACTGAATTTCTGCTTCAATTTGATGGTGCTACTAGCAGTCCAGATGACCGAGTGTTGGTTATTGGTGCAACAAATCGACCATATGAACTCGACGATGCCGTTTTACGGTAGGACTACTTCTGAGCTTGATTGAATCCGATCAGTAATTTCTAATTCTCAACCTGATTTGCGGTTTTCGTCATCTTTTGCGTTCCATATGTTTGGATTTGGTTCTGTTCAGGCGGTTTCCGAAACGAATTCACTTGGGACTACCTGATGGACAGTCCCGTTTTACACTTCTGAAAACAATCCTCGATAAACACAACATGTCTGCCGGACTAACAGATTACGATATACGGTCAGTTAATTAAAATCTCAAGGTTTAGGTATTTCCCTTTCTTCTTAGCTGATTCTGTATGATGGTGGTTCGTTTCATTGTGAGGGACATTGCCGCCAGTAAGCATTAATAAATGAGTTTATTTTCCTTTTGTTTTTTTCCAAAGGGGCCGAGTCAAATTGTCCTCAGTGCATAGCTATTTGCAAAAACGTACTCTGTATGCATCCATCTGATTTGATTTTCGCTACGGGTGCTGGTATGTCTCCTGTAGAAGCACTGAAGTTCCTTACTTAAGGATGGTTTGTCTTGTGACCTTCTTTTCTGAACGTCGTCTACAGTTATTACACTATGGACTAATTAACACATGAGGAGCGGCTTCTAAGGTGGACTCATACGATGCGAAAAATTACTTTCAAGTTTTTTTACAACCCATCTTTCATATCTATAGTGCGGATCCTAGCACATCTTGCATTCGATTTGTTTCCTTGCATCCATTATCCACAAGGATCCTCCAACTTTTTGCTAGTCGATTCGGCTGTTGCTTGAGGGTTTTCCTTTCGTCATAAATGTTGGATGCTGGTCGAATCGATTCTCCATCGAGTTTTGAGATAGCCTTGCTAGGGCTTTCCCTTGGATTGCAGAGAGTTATCTGTTCCCAGACAAGTCGTACCAATTTCCGGACGCGGTAGGATGAGAAGCTTGGTGAGCCCGAATCAGATGGAATCAGCATTGTGTTCCTGATGGTCGGCATCGCTACCACTATGCTACGCCCCTTCTTTCAGGTCTAAACTGTCTTATCTTAATGTTTAACTTTTATTTACTGACTTTTTTTTCATGGCAAGGTATTATATGGAATTTAACCACAATTATGAAGGCTTATAAGCAAAGCACGAAACCCTAGGTCAGCTTCGAACGAGCTATTCCTCTTTCCGTAGGCTCACATATTATCTACTGCACTATAGAGGCCCTTGCTTCTCCTTTTGTATAAAGTCGAAAAGCCAGTTTCATTGTATATTTTTGAAGACGAATATAAGATACAGTGTAACGCACTTACTTGTAATATTCATTTTCTACAGATAATTTACATTGCATTTAATTTACAGGTACTTTTGATGGCAACTGTAGAAACAGTATAGACACAAAAGTTTCTTACTTTGACTCCATTAGATAGTAACCCGCTAAGAATGTGTTTGTGGCCAATCTATTTCTTATAATGGCTAACACACCGCCTTTGCTGCTTTAAAATTGGTGGAGTTAACATTAGAGAGTAATTAGGGAAAGTACAAAAAAAGCCGGAGCTGTTTTTCGGGGAAGAGGAGGAGGGTGCTATGGTCGGCCGTACTGTTTTCAATACCTACAAGTAGCACCATCACGAATCCTTTAACGGTAGAAAATTTCTTACTTTTAGGAAGATAGCATCAAAAACTGACGGATATTCTAATTCGGATCTTGTTGCACTATGCAAGGAAGCAGCTATGATTCCCATTAGGAGTATAGACAGGGAGAAATTGGCAACTTGTGATGAGAGCAAGCTGAGGAAACTTAAGGTGATTGTGAACTACCAAGATTTCAAAATTTTGTTTTGGACCGCGCAGTTTTGATTTGGTCAGAATTCACTTAATCTGATAATTTTTGCAGTGTTCCGATTTCGATAAGGCTCTCACCGTAATCCGACCATCTTCTAACGAGCGAAGTTTGCAGTGCTTGTCCGATTTTTGGCGACGTGCTGGACAGTTTTAGGGTAGTTTGGAGAAAAGTCACATCTTACGGGTTCAAAAAAATTCCTGTGAATAATGTGAATGTTGTTTTTGACCTAGTAATTCCACGTTATTTGTTCTTTTCCCACTTTGTTTATATTTGAAGTCCTGTGTACTTTCAATTTCAGGGATTTACTTGAGTCACATTTCCATTCATATTTGGTTATTTTTTTCAGTCTCACATAATTTGAGATGCACAGTGTTGTTATCCATTCATCTCTAATTCTGTTAGTAGATTGAATTTGTTAAATAACCGTTCACCGTTATTTGAATGTGACGTTGTACATCTGTGGTAGTGTTACCTATCACCCTATCTTGTTAGATCATTGATCTCCCAGTATAGGTTTGACATAAAACTCTCTTTTATGAGTGTTCAGTCTTCGTTTTTTGCCACTAAACTTAGTTGGTTTTGTGAGTACTTGTGATTCGACCTTTGGTTTACTAACTTTGTTTTCTGTTATACTATAGCAAGTTTCATTTTATAGATATGGGAAATTACATCCACTATTCTACAACTGTTTTCTTGATGAGTAGACATGGACTTGCTAATTTTTTCAATCCTGTCGCAATGGGTAGCGTTCCGGCGGATATTGCCTTCAGATCCTGGTAAGGTCAAATTATTAGATGCGCAGTCGATCGATATTAGATCCTAAGGCAAATGTTTTCGAAATCTCAGGAGGGTAAACTAGAAACCCAGATCTCAATCACGTACGAATTCCTGTTAATTTAGCATTATGGGGCGCGTGTAGCGCAGTGGCCTGGAGTAGACATAAGATCGACTCCCGCGCGCAAGAACTCCGGGGTCGGTAAATTAGTACCACATTTGTCTGGGAGCATAATAGCACTGACTGGATGCATCGATAGGCCACTGCGAGTCATTATAAAGACAAATATGCATTAAATCACCTTCAGTGGTGCTTGATGAAGTCGAATGCATGGCGCATCCTTCAGGGATTTATCAACGCTGAGAGCTCCATCCTTTCAACTGTACTATTTTGTGTTGGAAACAGTAGCGCTAAGGTTTTCCACAACACTTGCAAACTTCGTTCACTGGATTGCATTGATGTTCCTGAGTGATCGGACCACTTTTATAGAATTGAAATGTAACAATTGCTTAGCTTGTTGAGTTATGAGTTATACACAAAGATATGTTTTTTAATGCCTACTGCTTTCCATTGAATCAAACAACGTGTTCCCACTATGTAGTGCATGAATTATTGTCGTTTCTTTTTTATTGTCTCGAGTAACTGTGCGCTACCTTAAGAAATATATATAATTTGGAAGGATTATCCACTTACATTCTCATTTCTAGACGAATTTATCTGTTTTAATAGATGATCGAAAACAGTGTCAACTTATTCACGACTGTGCTGGTTCGCTATATAACATCTAGGTTCAATCGCGAATCGAGGCTCACCAAGCTTTCCATCCCTTCATGGTCGACAAATTTGTACCAGAGCTGTCTGGGACCACAGTAGCATTGATTCGAGACGCTTGTAGACCACCACCATTCTCTTATATGCAGATATGCATTTAATCACCTCTGACGATGCTCAAAGATGTTAAATCTATGGTGTATCGCTGCTTAGAGGTTAATCGACACCAAGAGCTTTACCTAGTTCGACGTCATTTGATCATATCTCCTAGGAAAGTAATCAATTTTAACCAGAAATTTGTCAGAAGTTTTGGACATTTACGTAGGGAATTGGTAACTTCGTACCAGGTGTGCCACCGTGATTTTCTTGATACTGCAGTGTTTCGATTTCCGATAGTGGTACAAGAGTGGTTTTTTAGGTAGTCCGATGCAGTTAGTATTGGAACATCACATCCGAGATTCTGCCTGAATAGAAGGTTTGTTCATGCAAAAGCGAGGTAAGAGTGTTTATGCTAATCCAGCAAAGAGTAGCGTGGAGCGATCAAGCAGAGGAATGCGAATGACTGCACAAGAAGACGGCGATTCTCACATAAAATAGATTCAAAGTAGAGGTCGTCGTTATTTTCCAAGCATTGTTTTTATAATTATGCGGATATTAACAGAGAAGGATTACATATCGCTTCTCAAGCACTGGTTTTCCAATCGTGCACCTCAGCGGCCAAAATATAAAGACATTACATAGCACCTTTCTGTCGGCTGTGACTCGACAATCTGGCTCTCAGGGAGCATTTCATGGACAAGGAAAGAAAAGTACATGAAAGGGTAATGCGTCGTATATTCACACAACGATGCTCAGATATTTGCAAAACTGCGGACCGTAGTTGTCTGCGGTGTGGATCGAACACGCTGTCACCTTTTGAGAGGACTAATGCTTCACCACCACACCATGCGGGTTGTTCTTTTCGCCTTTCTCTCAGCCATGTTTTATAGGTGCTATCGGCGATCACCCGTCAACGGGATTGATCTGGGGAACAAAAACGGCATTGAACCCAGTTGCTGATATGCTGAGAGAAAGGCGAAACGACACCTGCGGTACGTAGTTTTGTAAATATCTCAACATCATTGTGGGTATATTTCGGATCACACCCATGTGTGGCTCGTGTGGCGCAGTGATAGAAGACCGCTATGGTTGGAGGCGCCCTGCAATGCACATGGGATCGATCTCCGCTCCAGTGGCTCGCCAAGCCTTCCATCCCTCCAGCGTCGGCAAATTGGTACCATCTTTGTCTAGGAGGATAGCAACTTTGGCTCGACACATCGCTAGGCCACCGCGAATCAGTTTAAAAGCCAGATATGCATTCAATCACCTCCAACGATGCTTAACGAAGTCGAATGCATGGCGCATCTCTCAGGGATTGGTCAATGTCGAGAGCTTTATCCTTTATTCTTTACCTTGCTTCAAAAAGAATAGGCAGTAAATAAAAAGCAAATACTCTGTGTATTGCCAACTATCCTCGAAAACGTGTTCTTTTGTGTATATGCAGTTCATCTCTTTTTTCTCATATTTTCATCTCTTAGAGGTTCAAAATATCACCGTCGTCCTTCACAACTGAGGAATCTGCGTTACTTCGCTTGTATGAGTTTATTTCCCATATGAAATCTCCTTTATTTTCCTTCCAAATTCTGGTTGTATTCGTTTATTTGTGGTTGTCGTTCGCCGATGGTATTTCTCGTTCTCTTCAGCAAATATCTGATGTACAAACAATATTTGTCCTATTGGTGGACAGTTTTTAGACTCTTTATTACGCCGTCTATTTTATTCCACAAAGAACGTGCACCGCATAGCGTAGCTGCCCAGTGGAACAGGAGCAATTTTTCGTCGGCAGGAGGAAGCAGCTGAATTTTTTCGCGCATCATAACGATATCAATAAATACCTACGTCTCGCTGATCTTTCGGTCGTGCTCTGTTGTTTTCCATTAACTAAGAAACTTCGAAGCTTTTAACCCTAACATTTTTGTTTTTTTTAGGTGACTTTGCCGGATTTCTTATATGTTTATGCTATGCCCTCCCAACGATTCATTGCCTCATCGTGGCTGAGAGGTGTTCCAGAGTGTAGCGTTTCGATGTACAGCGGAGAATCTATCACTCTGACAGGGTCTCCCAAGATGAGAGGGAGTCTGGCGTTTCTGTCAGGAAGCTCGGCTGAGAGTAGACCAGTACCAAGATCCCTCACCGTTCTGGTACCAAACTAGTCGCATGGTGGTAAATCTATCTCTGATCCACAAGGGCTGCGACTGCCTGTGGTGGCGACAACTTGGAGCAGACTTTGGCCTAGCTGACCGTAGAACCTCGGGGAACCATAATGGCTAAACCAGCAAAAATCCGAAGAAATGGAGATTATGCTGGGACTCGCACAACTAGTGGGGACAGGGGATCCAAGTATCCTAGTATGTGCTATGTACTCTGTGCTACACTGTGTTACAACTGTCAATCATGCAACTGTATTGCTGTCAGCACTTGATATTTTTTTCTAATAGTAAAGCAGATAGTAGGGCCGCACAGCGCATTGTGTCAAATCTTCCTGCGATCCACAACGGTGATGATTGCTTGGGGTTATGGCGACCTGGGGATTGCTTCCGCTAGTCTGACCTCGGGACTTCAGGAAACCACAGTGGCTAAACCACCAAATTTTCGGAGAATGGAAATTGTTGGAGACGGTAGAACCAGTGAAGGCCGGTCATCTAAGTATCCAAGAAAATCACGCTGAATGGATCTCTACTTAATCTTTAGACAATGAATATTCACTTCATTTCAGCACCAAGTGATCATTAGGCTGTTCGAGAATTAATCACAATTACGAGTGCCTTTAATGTGACATATCTTGGGTCGGAATAAAATTTACTAGTCGAGATGGAAATCTTTAGAATATGCACATTTTTACCAGTGGGAAGATATTTTCTTTTTTTATTCCGACTGTATAACATAAGAATACTTCCCTCGGATCCATATCGTGATGATGACCTGAAAACGCCCTTGCAAGATTAAGTCAGGACTCCAGGAAGATCAACTTGCGAAACCAACAACAAGCAAGCCTCAGTACTCCGCACACTGGGTGCTCTCGTATATGAGTTCAGGCGTTGAGACGACCGGTGAGAGTCCACAAAATCTCGGGTTACCCAGGTCGTCACTGGAAACGGATTTGACGAACACGGCACGAAACTTCATTGAGATTGTTCTTTACTCTGCACGTACAATAGCAGAATAATTTCCTCAGTCTGCACGCCATTCTTGAAGCAGCAGATTGCGTCGAAGTCCATCTGATCGCCTTAGATGGAATAAAAAGAAGCAAGGTCGACATACGCCAACTAAACAACGGGACCCTTGTCATCCGCGAGGAAAAGCTCCCGTGATGAAATGTCCGTGGTATTTCCGTCAACTCGTCCATTCTCCCTCTCGTCGACTTGTACGAGATCCTTTTCCCTAGCATGGACGTCTGTCATCAACCAACGCGTCATAAAACGGCAACTATCATGAATTGCTACTCACCGACCGATAGAGCTGAAGAATACGAACTAGGTACGTACTACTATCAGTTGGAGGAAGTTATCCGTAGTGCTAAAGCATGTTGTGCATTTGTTGTCGGAGACATCGATGCAATTATAGGGAAGGGCAACGAGAGCGAAAAAAGAGAAGAAAAGGTTCAGAGATTTTGGATTGGTAGGAAGGAATTAGAATGGAAACCGTGTTACAAGAAACTTGATTTTCCTGAAAAAAATATAGCCATTGCTGGATGTCCTAGTGACAGAGATCGACCGTATTGTGACAAACAGAAAAGGGTGCCTAGTTGGCACATTGACCCATCATTCCACACTGGATCATTCCTGCCTTCTTCGCGTGAAGATTCGATTCAGCTGTAGTGTAGAAAAAATTCATGTAGTCGACCGGAAAGAAAAGTTTTAATTGTATATAACAAGAACGTTCTGAACGAAATCTTATTCAAACGTGATTGGCAGATTAGGGAAAACCGGACCAAAGACTACGAGCTGTTTGTCGAAGGACTGAAAAGTTGTGCCGAATTCGCCGCAGTTCCATAAGCAATAGGACTGGATCGCATTTCCATTACCACTACGAAGTAGGTCGAAAAGCGAAGGAAAATGAAGCTTGAAGCCACTGAAACACGCTTGAAACGACTAGTAATTTGTGGCAGCTATAGAGAAGCTTTGCGGGATGATATACATCGGTATAGACAAAAGAAACTATTAGAAACATCACAAAATAGAAGCAGTCTGAAAAAATGCGCTTGGGATTTGTGCGAGTCCAATGTTCTGTTGTCAGTCCTGATGAACGAAGATGGGACAACTAAAACTTTCGATCATGATGTGGAATTAATGACTGGAAAATTCTACGTACGTCAACTTTTTCTGTTCCAGCACCGTCGTCCCGGACCCTAAAATACTCGCTGGAGAAAAACCAATAGGAACTGGAATTCTTCCACCAAAGGTTCGAGTTGCGATAGAAACCATGATAGGAGGCACAGCTCTAAGACCTGATGATATCACTTCCTTAGAGCTGGAAGCCATAATTTACATATACTTCTCGCAAACCATATGATGGCCTACATCCATAAAGGAAAAATCCCAGACAAGTAGACAATGTCGCGCGAGGTCGTCCTGCCCGAAGAAGGTGACCTAAGCGTGTTCGTAAATTCGTTCGATATGCTTGTTGAGTATATTTTACGAGTTCTTCACGAGGATTTTCGATTCGCGCATATCAAGGACATTGGATCGGACGACCAGTTGAGGGAGCAGGACTTCGAAATGGATTTTGCCGCCTACACCTCATCCACATCATGTCCAGGATCATTGAAGTTTGTCGGGAACACAATTTGCTCAAAGTTCCGATTTTTGTCGAGTATGAAAAGGCGTTTGGTATTGTCGAAGCATATGCTATCCTATCAGTGTTCGTCGACCATGGAGCGCATCCGATCTACATTTGAATTCTTTCTGTTATTCTGTGACTGTTATCGAAAGTGCACCACGAAAATACAGGTTTTCCATCACCCTTTTACCATACCTATAGGAAAAGGGTTCGGCAAGGCGACACGGTATCAGCAAAGCTATTTAGTGCCCCAATGCAGTGGATAGTGAGCCACCTGATGGGGGTGAGAAAAACATAAGTGTTGATGGAATATTCCTATCAAACCTTCGTTTTGTCGACGACATCGTTATCTTCTCAAAAAGTACTAGCGAAGTAGAGACGATGATCAACGTGCTCAACGAAGCGCGAAAAAGATTCGACCATGCATAAACCGGAAGAAGACCCAGTTCATGCAAAACCCATCGTGCGAAGGCGAAAAAATTGTGCTAGATGGCTCTCTGATTGCAGAGACTACCACGTACGTATACTTTGGGCAATCAATGAACATGGAAAACAATATGAAGGAGGAATTAGATAGAAGAGCAATTAGCATGGGCGGCATTCGTGTTTCCGAAAGAAGTCACCAGCCAACTAATGGACTCGAAAATCCGCGCTATAACTTTCGATTCAGTAGTCCTTCCAGCGTTTTCTTATGGAGCAGAAACATGGGCGGGTACTTTAACCACATCAAGAAATCTGCGAACCACCCACAGAGCATTTGAACGATATCTTCTGAAATTTAATCGGTGCACACAAATTCTTACCGAAATGCAAAGCTGTAATCTCCGAAATCTATCTCTTCGAGATCCAGTAGAAAACACGTTGATAGCGTAACATAGGTTGGGCATATAATAAGAACAGAAAACAGGTTGACGAAAGAACTACAGGTTGAACTCTTCGTGAATGCAGGCGTTCCTTAGGTTGGCCACCTACACGCTGGGTGGACGTGTTTTTAACTAAAGTCTAACACCTGTATTCGCAACTGCAGTTGTTTTGCAGATCACGGTAGGAGGCTCGCACCTGCTTTCATATTTGGACGAAAGCACCACCATGGACGACGATTGCGTGGCAGCGAAACGAATGGATTACGTCCTAGAGTTCCCACAGCTCATGAGGACGAGCCGACGAAATAAATAAGTAAGAGTGTATAAAATTCTGCACATCTGGAAGAGATGAAATCATTGAAGGCAATTTCGAACGCGGCATGATTTCTGAAGCATTTCTCGCGCGAAAAGTTGTTGACATAGTTGAAAAAGCGGAAGTCTGTAGGCTAGAGGTCTAGCGAGTATGGTGGATGGGACAGAGTTTCGTCGCCCAGCTCGTTCAGTTTTTGCAGCTTCGGTAGTGCGACGTGTGGCTGGGCGTTATCGCCGAAAACGACCATTCAATTTGTACGGCGTCCACTTGTCGAGCTCCTTCCACTTTCCAATTGTATTTAGATGCTCTGAAACACTTACGATCTTACAATGGTTCTTCTTCTGATTCTCGAATGGTATCGCATGCGCTTGCTTTCAAACGACGCTTTAATTCACCGTTGTCAATAGCAGAGGAACATCCGCGATCTTTCTCATCATCAAGGTCGAATTCGCTACAGTGAAACTTTCCGGGCCAACGTTGTTCTGTGCGTTCGTTAACCATTCCTTGGCCATACATCTCTAACATTTAAAGTCATTCGGGTTGCGTACATTCATTTTGAATCCGTGGAAGTAAATCTGTCGAAAGTGCTCTTTTAACATATGAATCCTAGCGTACGATATTTGTCGAAAGCGCCATTTGCATTGGAGTTCAATTCTACGGAGCGAAAAAGCATAAAGTAGGCTTGTATTGCTGTATAGTAGTACAGAATTCCGATACAAATGGGTGCTGTCATAAATACCAGAAAAATAAATCTGAAAGTCAGGCGTTAATTTTCGATGTCCGTGAAGTCTCCATTTCTATCATTTGCACTTCTGACCTCTTCTATCTATACAGACTGAGCGCATATATTTGTTTCCTGCCAAAACAGGAATTATTGTTCTGGCGGGGGCCATATGAAAAATTATGTCAAATTTATTGTGTTTATTTTCAGTGACAGCTCATAAACGATGTTTCTGCGTCGCTGTTTCATCATTTTCAACGAAAATGGTCTTTTCTGCATATCATGCTTGTCGTGGTTCCTTTGTGTGCCTATAAGTTGTTGAATATTCATCTTCGTATCGTTTAACCTCACGGGCGCGTGAGGCGCAGTGGTCTGAGGCGCCTTGCAGCACACACATGGGATCGATTCCCTCGCCCGTGGCTCACCAAGCCTTCTATTTCTCCGGAGTCGGCAAATTGGTATCAGACTTGTCCGTGAGGTTAGTAACACTGGCCCGATGCCTCGGTAGGCCACCGCGAGTCATTGTAGAGGCCAGATATGCATTCAATCACCTCCAACGATTTTTGATGAAGTTAAATGGATGGCGCATCCCTCAAGGTGTGATCAGCACCGAGAGACTTATCCTTATCCTTATCCTTGTCGTTTGACATCGAAAATATTTTCTTTCATTGTAACTGATTTTTTGTTCCTTGTTGTTTTCTTGTTTTCAATCGCTAGGTTTTCACATGTTCATTCATTCGTGAGCACATGTACTATCATGAAGGATAATTAGTATCGTTAACGTATGTGAGCGACAAGTCTCCAGTATTTTTTAGTAAAACCTAACGAGGTTGAACGTTTTCTAGATTTCTAGAGTTTCGTTAAACGTCAGTAGTGGTTTTATTTGTATAGTTGGCTAAGGTATTTACATCGAAGAAAAATGGATTGCATTTTGAAAATTAGGGATATTCGAATCCGAGTACCAAAACCGGGTTTCTACTAACTTCGACGGTAAGCAGTTTCTATTGAACACTCACCGTTTTGTTCTCTATAAATTTCCCAGTTATTCTTGGAAACCAACCGCACAGAGTCTTATAGGGATGATAAAATTAGTTTTAGTACAGCCAAAATTGCTTCTCACCATTTGTCACCCTGTTTCCTTGATCTGATGCTGTCATTGGACAAATCTTTCAGTCGCCGCAAGTTAGTAAATCTTGTCCAACGTAACAGAAAAGATGATGAGTGTCGAGAGAGTAAAAATTCTGTTTTGTGTAGTAAATCGAAGAAGGAATCACCAATAGCAGAAGCTTTTCTGAAAGAATGCAATAACGAGCACTATAGGACTTTAGTGCTGTTTTCGGCAACATGTATATCTGGCGAGAATCAGTCGTGCTCACAATGGAGAACTCCAAGGACTGCGATCGCCATAGATTTGTGTAGTATGGCATCTGGGTTGGGCTATCCATTGGTGGCGATACGCGTTTCATGTGACATTCGTTCAGAAGTGATGTGTCTGCTATGTTGTGGTAGTCTCATAACTACATAATTGTTAGTAGTCTACCAATTTGATACCTGGCATATATGTGCATATATATATATACATATATCACCTGTATCACCTGTACTCCCGTTGATTGTCGAGTGACTCGAGCGGGCGCCAGTAAATCTTCCATTTTTCCCTGTCGCATACAAGAGTAGCTCAGTGGGTTCTGTTCGCTCTAGGGCCTTGTCAAGCATCATATCTTTCTTCAAGGCTCTTTGTGAAGAACTCTGACCATCGGGTCGGTGGTCTTCCTGCACTACGTTTGGCATCCCGAGGATTCCAGTCACTAACGGCTCCTATCGACCGGTTGTCATTCATACGCATTACGTGTCCGGCACACTTTATCTTCGACTGTTTGGCGTACAGAACGACATCTTTGATTTTTGATCATTGGCGCAGATCGGGGCTTTGGATCCAATGCCTTACTTGTGTGAAATGGGACACTCTTAGCACGTCCTTCCGATTGCGTGTTCGATAACGCTGAGGGACCTTTCTTTCATCCTGCTTACGCAGCGACCAGGTTTCTGACGCATACGTTAGGGCAGGAAGGGCAGGAAGTACTCTTCAGTCGAAAAGAGGGCACGGAGTCGGGTACTCTTTGTTCTCTTCACTACATCCTCGATGCTCTTGAAAGCTCTCCAAGCCGCTCGTCTCCTTCTGCTCAGCTCTGGAGCTAGGTCGTTCATCATATTGATTTCCTGACCTAGATAGACATAGTTGGAGCATTCGGAGATATTTGTTCCGTTGAGCGTGAACGGAGCATGCGAAACCAATCCGTTCTTCGTGAACATAGTTTTTGTGAGATTTAGTCGAAGACCAATCTTTCTACAGACTTTACCAAAGTCGTCAAGCATACGTTCGGCTTGGTTAGCGTTTGGTCTTATAAGGACGATGTCATCAGCAAAGCAAGAATGGTGTAACTGCCTACCGTCGATTTTCACCCCCATATTATCCCATTCCGATGTTCGCATGACGTTCTGGAGGGTGGCGGTAAATAATTTTGGCGAGAAGGTATCGCCTTGCCTGACTCCTCTTTTGGCGTCAATGTTAATATGTTGTAGTAACTCCCAACTCCGACTTTCTATTAACCTCGGCATTGATCAAGTGATTTTTTTCGTATTTTTGTTGAGCAAACGCGAGGTGTTACTATTCTTTGTTCACGATTAAGCTGACGTTTCGGCGGATTTCGCCTTCTTCAGAGCCTGGAAAGGTCAAGTTGATAGCAATCCACTCGGCCAGACGCCTCCATAACCAAACAAAGAAACTCCAAACCAAGATTTCAATCACTTTGAACACAGCTTTGCACACTAACCGCTTCCTATGAGGTTTCCACTAAGTATGTCACGTAGAGACAAACCGCACAGAAATCACGTAGAAGTATAATGTGCCCCTCACATC